GATTCCTTTGAGTAAATTGTTTGACTGTCCTACTTCCTGTGTATGCATTGTTGTGGGTCACACAGAGAATATAGTAAATCCCCAAGTTACAGATATCCAACTGATGTATGACTCACACTTATGAACGGAGGCTATGACAAGTAATAAGTAAATGTACCCATTTCAACTTACATACATATTCGACATAAGAACAAACCTATACAACCTATACAAACCTCTCGTTTGTAACCTGGGAGCCTCCTGTATCTGCAAACTTGTCGGCCATACTCAGCACCGGGGTAGCAACACTAAAAACAGACCCACTGAAGTTAACCAGTGGCGCCTTTCTTGACCTCCTCCCGTGTGTGTCTAGGCACTGTCCTGGTGTATGCAAAGATGAAAAGATTAGTTATTGCATTAGACTCTGCACTGTTGAGATGAAGAAAAGGCTGGGTTCTAGACGAGCAGGTAGTTACAGGGTAATAAAGCCACGGGGGATTGGACCAGCGTGTCCAGATTGTGAGAGCTAGTTTAAAACAACTCTTAGAAGTTGTAGATGCTTTTCTTTTTTTCACACAGCTTCATTAGTAGATGTCACCATGGCTTTGGGACCTGTGCATTCCTGCTGTCCTTCAGTGCCTCATTTCCAGGCCAGTGTGGCCAGATACAGGAAGATCCGTCTTCCTGTTCTTCCCTGACCAAGACATTGGCTTAGGATAAAAACAATTCCTCTGATGCTTAACGAACATTTTGGACTTTTCAACTTTGGACGTCATGCCCTTTGACATCCTTTATTACGTCTTATGAGAAAGAAGCAAATAACCCCCAAGCAGAGATTTTTAAGAAGCCACAAGGGACTGGGGATGAAGATAGCACACTTTGATTATAGGAATACAAATGGCCAAGTTTATGACGAGGGGTGATCAGAAACACTCTTTCTTCATGTGAAATTAGATGCTTAGTAAACACTTGACTATTGCCATGTGTGAGAAGAGCATGAATTGTATCATTTTAAAATCATAGTTTGTTTTCTTTATATATCTCATACACTTACAGTTTCACCTGGTAGTCTTTCTATCTGAGTCTCGTTAGAACTTGAAGATTGGGGGCTAAAGGATTTCTTTAATGTTACTATTGAAAACTAAAAGAAAGCTAAAAACTAAACTAAAGAAGAAAAAGATATTAAATCTGCTTTATAGTTACTGATATGAATATTGACAACATACATTCATAAATTCCTACCAGGACTTCATTGGGACATTGGAGGAATGGATGTGTAACTGGTGGCATTAAGAACAGCTATACAAAGAATAACTTCTGACTGTCTGCTTTTTTTTTTTCTTTTTCTTTTAATTTTTAGATTTGTAGCCAAACCATGTGCCATAGCCCTCAACATTCAGGCCAGTGGACCACAAATTGCTCAGCCCAATGCCATTCTGGAAAAGGTCTTCACCGCAATTACCAAGGTATACTTGTCTTTTCCTGCAGTATCAATCGTCCCAATCACCATTCTCAGCCTGCAGTCATTCAGTTCCTTATTGTCTACATTTTGAGAATAAACTTTTCTTAGCTTTGTTCAGAAGGAAGCATGTTCTCAGAAAGACTCTTAACGACAGCATTGGGATGAGATGCAAATGGAAGGGGAGGAATAAAACTGGGCACGTCTTAGACCTACTGGTTTACTCTCAGGTTGACGGTCAGTAGCCTGTCTGTGAAGACCGGTCTTGGTTAGATAGAGATTAGTCTAACTCTGTGCTTCCTTTAATTTCACCTGGCATGAAGCAATACGGAGGAGGGCTGGGTGGGACTTTGTGGGGGCAACTGGGTGAAGCTGAAAAGTATGATTTGTGCGATGCGTGTCTGCAGCAAGGGGCCTGTTGGCCTATAGCGTTGTCCATAGATTCTAGGAGTTGTGATAGAAAAACACAAACAGTGACAACAACAAAAAAAGGTCTAATTGAAGAAGAACAGCGTTGCAACATGAAGGAATGAAGGATGAGGGTCTGGAAAGTTGTAAGTGAAGGGTTATTCCCTATGGAGAATAGAAGACAGGAGATACACCATCTGGTGAGAGTTGAAGTCCAGAGTAGGAATGGGAAGAGCAGGAGGGGGTGGTGGGGAGAAAGACTGCCTCCACTTCAGGGTGATACCTCCTTCAAAATGAAGAGTGGGGGAAAAGACCAGAAGTCCCAAACCTTCGGTCAAAAGCTGTTAAGAAAACAAAGCAGAGACAGAGTTCCCGTGTCCTGCACCCATGTATCTCGTATCACTCTCATCAGTCTCATCTTACTCTGGCCTGGACAAGAGAGAAGCAGACACCAGGAGAAGTAAAACATTTTGTGAAAAGTATTGTGGGTTTATACATTCAATGGTTCATTTTCCCTCTTTCATTTTTCTGGGAGAATTACTCAGGCTTCTGAGCTGTGATTTGACAGTGTTAAGCAAATTCTGTTCCTTTTTTGGTATTTGCTTTGCTAGCCATTTGTACTATTTGTCTCTTGTCTTACAACTATTAATTCAAATATGCAAACACCTTTGTTTATTTTATTATCTTCATTTCTGCCAAAATTCTCTAGGGGTTTCCTCTCTCTCTCTGTCCTTTTAAAAGCAGTATTTTTTCCCAGGTGGTTTTTTTTTTTTTTTAACTTCTTTGCTAGGAAGAAAAGAAGAATGAATGGAATTTTAGGAAAAGCCATTTTGGCAGTTTTAGGGGTTAATTTTTTAAAAATTATTTTTACATATACATGTGATTATTAGGTTTCCACTTTTTGCCTTCACAGAATTAAAAAGGCTTAAAATTTACCAACAATA